CTGTCTATAAGGTGTAAGCAAATAAAGGAACTGTACTCGACTGGACTGTTTCATTGTTGTTTTTGGGCTGGGCCTGACAGTATGCTTGGAATATTCTGTAGTCAACTTGGTACACATACCAACCTTTCAATTCATGCATCCTCTCAAGTCTCTGTTCTTCTTTCAACTCTTTGATGAACCCTTTGTTGGCTTCATCCAGAGCCTAGAAAAAATATAGTTTGAATGCCCAAGGGAAGCTTCAAGGAGGTTTTAGGAGATATTCTCCTCCCATACTTTCATTTGCTTCTTTAGTGTACAATCTACACATAGTAACGTTGCCATGAATACGCATACTTGTAAGATATGATTAACCACATAGAAGCAGAGGAATTGGAGTTGGAACCCTGTTTTGTTTCTTTAAAAAGAGTGGCACAAGGTAACTCACATCTATAAATCAAACCCAGTTATCTGGCATCTTCCAGGCATCAGAAAGGTGTCACAAGACTGTGGTGGTCATATGATTGGCAAACTAGGGAAACAAGTTATTGGATTAGGTAAGTTGTGCAGCATGTGATGAGAGATTGAAGGAAACTGTAAGGGATCTTGACAAACACAGGCCCCAACCATACTAAGTTTTTTAGAACAGAAGAAAGCTTGTTGAGTTCTCCAACAATGGCCAGCCAACGATTTCTGGAAAGCCACAAGCAACCTATGAAAGCACTTATCTATCTGTATATCCCAATATTTTATTTACCTTTGTGTATAAAATACTACTTTTCCCTGAATATAACTAATTCTCTATTAAAACTAGTACTGCATTTCCTTTGATTTTTAGAATCAAAGGCATTGTGGCACAATGGAAGGATATTTTGCTTTCATAATAGCTTTTACCCAAATTTTAAGAAATCCTGTGGTCTTCTAGACTTACTATCTTCTTGAACAGGGGCATCAAACGTCATGTGCCATTTTACTTTCTCAAGCTCAGTGTAGTCATAAGCTGCACTTTGGGAAGTCCAAGCCTTAACTTGTCATGAAAAAAAATCAAGAATTATTGGTCCTAACCCTTCCTGCAGTTCTTACATTGCATTTGCCATTGTCACCTTCCATTTCTGTGTTACTTACAATGATAATTGCCTGCTGAGCTGCATCATTATGGACACGTTTTGCCTTCTCTAGAGCCTTTTCAAAGTATGTGACTGCAGACTGAAAGTCCTCCAGTTTCACTGTGAATTGATAAAGAGAAATTTACACAAAACACTGTACTTGTGATGCATTTCCAAACTTACTGAATACTGTATAGGAAACAGGATACCATCTAGTGTAAAAACTGCCCAGGATTTGTGTAGAATAGTATTTATTTGTTTTAATTTTTAAAGTCAATGATGTTTTTAATATTTCTATTCCTATAACAACAGAGTTCAATAGGAGATTATGTCCTTTTGAATGCAGGGATTAAAAGCAGTTCATTAACTGCTGAGCTGTCTCCCTGCAGCCTTTTAAAGTTTGAGTGATCACTATGTTTTCAAGACATAGAAGCAACCCTGTAATTTTGGAAATCAGATAGCAATCTAGTTTGCCTTTATTGTGAGTTGGACTCATTGGCATTTAACAGTGAGCATACACAAGATTGCCAATTTCTTGGCTGATAGAAGTTGCTGAGTTGAATAATAGGTGGCAACTCAGCACAGGTAATTTTCTCTGTCACAAGAAACTAACCACATCTGTAGAGATTCTCTTTTATATAGAGAATAATGATAAACGAGTTTCCATCGGAAAAGAAGCAGTAACTCTGCTGTGTAAAGGAGACCCAGTCCAGCTAGTAAAGATAAACATTTGTGTGCAGAGCTTGTGCAAAGCAAGTTACCTTGTGCTTGTGCCACCAACACACCACCGTTAAGCTGCCACTCAATGTCTCCCTCTTCCTCTGCACACTGCAAGGACTTTTCACCATAGTCTCGAGCCTCAGCTGCTTTGTTGAGTTCTAGGTAGCATCTGCCAATTTCATGGAATAACCAAGTTTTCTCCAAGTTACTCTTCACAAGAGGAATCTTCTCCTCCCAGCTTTGCAAAATAAAACAGAAATGTACAGATTTATTTTTGGAAAACAGATTTGTTTACAGAAAATAAATCTGGCCTTTAAAAGTATTATTCTAGACTCCCATAGATCTTCTGCCAAGCCCAGCACTACAGTATATTCAGCACTCCTAGGATCAACTCTTGATTTCCATTTTCATATAGTTGTTACTGATGATTACAGGTCTCCTAAGGGTGGATCCTGAGATTCAAGATTAGAGATTATGATTAAAGTGGTGGGGCCTCATAGTCTGAGGGAGAGATGACTGATATCTGTCATAGTTGGGAGTTGGCAGCTAAGAGCTCAAAGAAGCAAACCTTAGCTTTCATCAGGCATGGGGATTATACAAGAATCCCTATCCTCAGACCTATTGCTAGTTAATATCATCCATGTATGGTGAGCCAATTTTCAGAAAAAAACTAGTTTCAAATATTCATAATAATAACAGTATCTTTATTTAGTAGTCTCAGCCTATAACATTAAACTCTCGGCATCCCCTCACTCTTTGGGACATTCACTAGATTAGGAGTGAGAGGTCTGTATTCCTCCCAATTATTTTATAACTGTATGTTGACTAGGGCTGATGGGACTTAGCATTTGGAGGCTACAGGTTCCCACTACCCTGGATTCCCATCCTTTACCCTTGGTAGAAATCAGTTCTAACAGCTGTTAATGTATCATTACTTTTCTTGAACTGATACTGCTTTTCTTGATCTGTGGGCATGTTGTTATGAAATCCTTAGTCCTCCAAACAAAAAGTTGTAGCAGTAAAACAGTTTCAATTTTTAACCAGGTAAAATTAAAGTAGGACAAAGTGGTCAGGTTAAGACTATTACTGCAGAAGGCAAAAGGCCTTATCAGTATTTGACTTCCACATACGTGTCAATGGCTTCCTGAAAGCTGCCCATACGGGCATACACCCGACCAATGTTGTCAAGGGCTCTGGAGATGGCATCAGTCAGGTTGCTGCAAGAAAAGCAAAAGCAAACAATCTGAAATATGGGATGTTATTTCAAAATATTCCATCTGCCATCACCAACCCTGGATGTTATCTCTAGTGCATTTATAGTGCACTATGAATGTGTATAGTACTTTACCCCTGCTTCCACCAAAGTTGCCTAACTCTGCTTTAAACAGTACAGACAAGGGACCCCAATTTCAAGTAGTAGAGTGAATTTGGAATATCATGTGGCTTTTTAAGGTGTTACAAGAACAAATCAGTTATACAATAACTGATAAAAACAGAAGAGACTAAGGAAAACAATTACATGATATGATTTTTTAAATTATTTGTTAAGAACTTATTTATAAAAACTTAATCTTTTTTTCTCTCATATGTTTAAGGAGAGCAGTATGTTAAGGATAATGATTCAACCTTTTTTTCATGGTTAATCCTGAATATTTTAATTGCTGGAGAGTGAAATCACAGTAGAAATACAGTGGTACCTCGGGATACGAACGCCTCTACTAACGAACATTTCGGGTTACGCCCAGCTTCAGCAGGAAAATTTTACCTCGGGTTACAAACTCGCCTCGACTTACGAACCAGATCTGCGGCCATTTTCCCTGCTGCCACGCGGTCGTGGCTTCCTGTGGGCGAGGTCGCGGTAGCAAGGAGACGTTCAATGAGGCTT